TCCTTCTTTAGTTAATACCCTCTTGGTAAGATCTATATACACTTGAAGTTGGGTGACTGGAATAATAAGAAGACTACAGAGAGAAATGGAAGGTTTAGTGAAGATTTTAGAAACAAGCTGAAGTTAGTTAGTTGAAAAATCAAAGCTAATGGAGGAGGGAAAAGAACATAAATTTTACATGAAAAACCTATAGAAAGTCAGCTGCCAAGATCAATGCCAAAAGGATACACTTAAAAAAAGGGAGGCAGAGAAATTGATGTTAATTTTTAACTCAAGAAAACCACTTGTGATCCCTGGATGGGAGTTCTACAAATAGGACAGGGTTTGTTTTTAAAGTTAGGTAGACAATTATGACAGCAACAGAGATGACGGCATGGTTTAAACACCACAGCTCTATCTTCTTCTAGACAAAATAAACAGATTTTATTCGAGTCACTTCGTCTTTCTCCTTCACCTGAAATATATAGAAGCATATGCGATTTCAATAACATTCAAGAAATCTGAAATAGATTTCAGTTTTAATAAGGCAATTTACTGGATATTATCATACTTCTGTGTATTGTTTTACAGGGTTTATGTTTTATATAACAAAGCTGATACTAAAATCGTACCCAAGCCTTATTTTTAGATGAAAGGGAGATAACCTATCCTTGATCCAGGGACTGGCTACATAACATATACAATTTAAGAAATTCCAAATAGATTTCAGTTTTAATATGGACAATTTACTGGATATTATCATACTATTGTAAAATTGTGCATGTCTATGAGCAAAATCATTAGTAATGTGGTTTCACTATGAGCTGCATCAAGAACCCAGTTACTGGTGACTTGAGGAAGCTCTTGGAGGAAAATTCCCTGCCAAGCTCATTCCTTGACCCTATCACTCATTAACTGTTACATTTATATTGTATAACCTATAACTCTATGCAAGATATGTAATGAAACTAAGCTGGTTATTCATCAAATTAGGGAAACTTGGGTTTGTTAAAGATTAAACTATTAGATTTATAGATGTTTCTAAGGAATTATCATGTATTCTTGATCATATCATTATGTTCTTATTGCATATAATTAAGAGTTTTAACCAAGCATAAATGTCCATTTATGTACATTCCGGATAAACAAATAAAGACTTTTTGACCTTTCTTAATCAGTCACTCATTGGAATTCTTCTGGTAATTCTCTTCCAATTTAGTTAATTATGAATTGATTATGGACATGTGAGACAAACTGGTATTTTCCAAGTCATTAGAACACCTCAACCTTTTCTATAGTTAGAACTTACCTTGTGTCTTCAATCTTGAGCATTCATTAGTTAATACAGATATCTCTCTTTCACATTTCCTAATCTCATCTTCAATCTCTTGTGCTAGAGTTCTAAAGTCATTTCTCTCTTGAACAAGGGTTGCTTCCCTTTCTTCATGCCTGGATACAGCTGTTTGTAGTCTTGAATTCAAGTCTTCTAATTGTCCATACTGTTGATCTATTATTGAGTCTTTTTCTTCCAGTTGATTGCGTAATTGTTGTCTGGTACAATGAAGAACAAGATTCTGACGGTTTTTCTGACTTAATTGATGATCTTTCTGATGGATTTGCTGCTTGTGTTGAGTGATTTGCTGCTTGTGTTGAGTGATTTGCTGCTTGTGCTGATGGAGTTGTTGATCTTTATGAGTGATTTGCTGCTTGTGTTGAGTGATTTGCTGCTTGTGCTGATGGAGTTGTTGATCTTTCTGCTGTACTATTTGTTCACATTGTTGTCTCTCCTCCAGTATTTCCTTATCTTTATCATTTAACTGTACACAATGTACCTGGTTAATAGTAGCTACAGTAGACTTGATCTGTTGGTC